AATGGAAGGCCCATGGCAGTACAATAGGCAGTAATATGGAGTTGGTCAATCACTACAGCTACAACAGCCTCCTCTCTCCTGATAGGGGTTTTTAACAAGATTTTGGAGGGTGTCTGTACAAATCTGTGGCCATTCAACCAAAAGAGCATTTACACAGTGCCCTTAAAAAGTATTCATATCCCTTGAAAATTTCCACATGTCATGTTACAAACCAAAAATGTACGGTAAATGTATTTTATTGGCATTTTATGTGATAGACCAACAGAAAGTGACACATAATTGTGAAGTTGAAGAAAAATGATCAATGGTTTTCAAATAAAAAATATATAAAAAGTGTGACGTGCATTTGTATTCAGCCCCTTTACTCTGAAACCCCTAACTAAAATCTAGTGGAACCAATTGCCTTCAGAAGTTACCTAATTAGTAAATAGAGTCTCACAATGCAATGTGACCACCTAAATAGGTATAAACGCAGCTAGCATAAAGGACGCAGATGATTCTGGTGACCACAGCAGAGACGACCACCACTCCAGCAGGTTTCCTGATCCATTGACCAGGAGTAGGTCATTTTACTCCAATGCGCTACTATTTGCGCTATCTGGTTAGTGCACTCTACAGCCACACTTCCTACCACAGATGTCACAGATTTCTTTATGTCACTCCAATGATATATTGACTTTGACACCTATGTCACTATGTACACTTTTTTGACCATGAGAATGTTGTAGTATTGGTTGCATATACCATTACCTTTATGCTAGCTGCGTTTATACCTATTTAGGTGGTCACATTGCATTGTGAGACAGATCTTTATGCCTTAGCGCTGCATGTTTTCTTTTCGTGACTGTTACCCCACAAGGCGTTTTGGAGGTTTGCCTTTCATGCCAGCTGCTTTTATATTTTGTTCTAAAATTATCCAGCGCTCGTTTTACCCTTTTTTATCTAGTAAATAGAGTCTACCTGTTTGTAATTTAATTTAATCTCAGTATAAATACAGCTGTTCTATGAAGCCCTCAGAGGTTTGTTAGAGAACATTAGTGAACAAACAGCATCATGAAGGCCAAGGAACACACCAGACAGGTCAGGGATAAAGTTGTGGATAGGTTTAAAGCAGGGTTAAGTTATAAAAAAAAAATCCCAAGCTTTGAACATCTCACGGAGCACTGGTCAATCCAGCATCAGAAAATGGAAAGAGCATGGCACAACTGCAAACCTACCAAGACATGGCCGTCCACCTAAACTGGCAGGTCGGGCAAGGAGAGCATTAATCAGAGAAGCAGCCAAGAGGCCCATGGTAACTCTGAAGGATCTGCAGAGGGCAAGTGGTTAATGCTCAAAAATGTCTGTCATGCTGTATTTTATATATATATATATTTCAGCCCGTCAGTAGTGGATAGCATGTATCTGCCGCATAGGAGTTTGTGGATCATGAGACAAATGGGTGGCAGGGAAAGGTCTGTAGCAGGATTCAGGGGGTTAAGCTCTGGCCACACCTTGTTCCCCACCCAGGTTATAAATTGTCTTTCTGTGGATTAATCAGTTGTTGTTGGGAGAGGGATGTAGACAGGTTGCTGGGATGAGATGTGGCTGCAGGTATGAAGCAGACCCAATGTACGCTCACTATCAGACAGGAGCTGGCATCATTTTATTAGACTTTAGTTTTGACAGTGACTATTACCATCTACTGGGGAATTTCTTGTTTTGTGGCAAAGTTGAGCAATAAACATGGATAGGAAGATCTGAAACCCACTTGGTGCTTGGGTTGCTTTTCTCTGAGCTCTCTACTTGAAGCTACCCAACACATAACCCCCAGCATTGGTGTCAGTGATTGTAACAATAGCCTTAAATAGGTGTCAATGACTGCAATAATAACCCCCAGTATTGGAGTCAGTGAATGTAACAACCTCCAACAGTGATGTCAGTGAGTACAATTACCTCCAGAGTCAGTGTCATTGGATGCAATATTAACCCATAGCATTGGTGTCACTGGATGCAATATTAATCTCTAAAATTGGTGTAGGTTGACACAATAATAACCCCCACAGCTTTGATGTCATTGTATGTAATAAAACCCTCAGCATTGGTGTCCGTGAGTGCACTATTAAACCCCCATCATTGATTTCAGTGGAACCAATAATAATCTTCACCATTGGTGTCACTGGCTGCAATAATAATCCTTAGTATTGGTGTCAGTGGATGCAATAATAACCCTCATCATCTGTCTCAGTGGACGCAATAACAACACCCAGCATTAGTGCTTGTGGACACAATAAAAAACTCCATCGGTGTCAGTGGATGCAATAATAACTCTCATCAATGTCAGCGGATGCAATAACACCCAGTATTGGTGTCAGTGGACGCATTAAAAAACCCCAGCATTGGTGTCAGTGGACGCAATAAAAAAACGCCAGCATTGGTGTCCGTGGACACTAAAAAAGCCAGCATTGGTGTCAGTGGACACTAAAAAAGCCAGCATTGGTGTCCGTGGACGCATTAGAAAACCCCAGCATTGGTGTCCGTGGACGCATTAGAAAACCCCAGCATTGGGGTCAGTGGACGCATTAGAAAACCCCAGCATTGGGGTCAGTGGACGCATTAGAAAACCCCAGCATTGGGGTCAGTGGACGCATTAGAAAACCCCAGCATTGGGGTCAGTGGACGCATTAGAAAACCCCAGCATTGGGGTCAGTGGACGCATTAGAAAACCCCAGCATTGGGGTCAGTGGACGCATTAGAAAACCCCAGCATTGGGGTCAGTGGACGCATTAGAAAACCCCAGCATTGGGGTCAGTGGACGCATTCGAAAACCCCAGCATTGGGGTCAGTGGACGCAATATTAACCCCCAGCATTGGTGTTAGTGGAACAAATAACCATCATCATCGTCAGTGGAGGCAATATTAACCCCCAGCATTGGTGTTTGTGGTTGCAATAAGAAACCCCCAGCGTTGGTGTCAATGAGTGCAAAAATAACCCCAGTATTAGTGGACGCAATAATAAGTCCCAGAATTGGTGCCAGAAGACTCAATAATAATCCTCAGCATTGGTGTCAGTGGATGCAAAAATATCCCTCAGCATCAGTGCATGCAGTGGACTCTCCCTGCATTGGTGGTCACTGGTAGTAAAATATGTATGCCCCCCCAGCAGCTGCACAGACCCAGATTGTGCTCACAATCTGACATCCATATGGGTGAAGGTGTCCCTGAACGCACATTGTCTGTGTTGGGGGAGGGGGGGTGTCACCCACATGGATGTCAGATTAGCAGCAGCATCCCAGGTGACATGAATGGGACTGCCTGCATGGGGATGCATTGAACACCGATGCATCTCTGTTTGGGTAAACACAACCTTCCACGGGTGTACGCTTTACCACCCCCCATGTAGAAGAGGCCTCTGCCTATTAATTCTTCATGGGCCTTGTAAGTGGGGCGTGTTCTTTACCTATAGGCTTAGTGCTAATAGGCCTCCCTCAGAAAGGTGGGCGATTATGGGGGTGAGGCAGCGGCACCAGTCTATGCACAGCAATGTTCTCCGTGGTGCTGTTCAAAGCTGGCTGTGTTTTGGTGTACTGGTAGGCCATTCAAACAATTGGGCTGCTTTCACATCACATGTTTTAGTGAACATCACCATATGTTAATGAGCCCTACATGACTTGACTAACTCTAAAGACAGACTGGACAATCATATTCCCACATGTATGGTCGGATTTGGAGAAATATCCAATATCTGTCACCAACTTTCAGGAAGCCACCTTGGTGTCTAGGCCTGACTGTACAATACAGCTGTACTCCTCACTGGATTTTCCATTTGGGAAGAGAAGTTCTGTTTTCACAGATAACACGACACCAGCAGCACTGGAGACACAGTAATGATCATGTCTAAGAATTCTGACACACACTGGAAAGAAAACAATCCATGGCAAAAATAGCTGTTTGCCCTCAGTAAAGATGGCCGCCGCTGTGCCCTCAATACCGGAAGCGGCCAGGTGGACGGCTGGGAGTCCCGCCCTGTACACAGTTTGGTGGGTGAAATGAAAGTGGTCGGGGTGGTGATCTGGTTGTGCTTGCTGCCACTCACAGCCCGATGTGTGGAGCCGATCTCTATGACCTTCGGGGCCATAATCACAGGAGTCATCACCTACTATGGGCTGCACTGGTATTCCCCGGATCAGTGCCGGCTGGAGGGGGACATCAATGTCACAGGTGAGGGGGACTACAAATCCCAGCATGGACACACAGGGCCTCTGCATGGTGATGGTGCTGTACAATCTGCCCATACACTGTACAATCCCACCATGGAGGCCGGCTGGCCTGATTGGATCGTCAGAGAAGTAGAACGAAAGACAAGTTTGTATTCATTTAATGTTGGGTGGAGGGGAGAGGGGTTAGAGCCCCTGTCAGGGAGACTCCGCCTCTCTATCTGTCTTGGGGACCCTGCTCACTGAAAGTGGAAGAAAATCCCATACGGGGAGTTGTCACCTGAACAGGAAGAGAGGAGAAATCAACCAATGGGGACCCTAGTTTGGTGACCACCTTGGATTTCTTCACTTTAGGGAAACTTACTCTAACTTCCTGTTTTGGCTATGGAACAGGAAGTGAGGAGTAATCTCCCCATTGGGGACACTAGTTCTGGTGACAACTAGAGATTCTCTCACTTCCTGTTTTGGCTATAGGACAGGAAGTATAGAGAAATCTCTCCAATAGGGACACTAGTTTTGGTGACAACTAGGGATTCCCTCATTTCCTGTTTTGGCCATGAGACCGGAAGTCAAGGAAATCTACCCAATGGGGACACTGGTTCTGGTGACAACCGGGGATTCTCTCATTTGTCTTAACCTTGGATTTTCTCACTTTGGAGGGATTTCCTCGAACGTCCTGTTTTGAATAAGAGATGGGAAGTGAAAGGAAATCTCTCCAAAGGGGTCACTAGTTCTGGTGACAACTAGAGATTCCCTCACTTCCTGTTTTGGCCTTGAGACAGGAAGTCAAAGGAAATCTCTCCAATGGGGACACTAGTTCTGGTGACAAACTAGCAATTCCAGCAATTTCTGATTTGCCTATGAGACAGGAAGTCAAGGCAAATCTCCCCAATGGGGACACGAGTTTTGATGACAACTAGGGATTGCCTAATTAACTGTTTTGGCTATGAGACAGGAAGTTAAGGAAAATCTCTTCATTGGGGCACACATTCTGGTGACATACTAGCAATTCCCTCATTGCCTGATTTGGCTATGAGACAGGAAGTCAAGAAAAATCTACACAATGGGGACACTAGCTCTGGTGACAACCAGGGATTCCTTAATTTGTGACAACTTTGCATTTCCTCACTTTTGGAGTAATTTCCTCTAATGTCCTGTATTTTGGTTATGGGGCAGGAAGTCAAGGGAAATCTCCAATGTGGACACGATTCCTGGTGGCAAACTAGTGATTCCCTAATTTCCTGGTTTGTCTATGAGCCAGGAAGTGAAGGGAAATCATTTGGGACAACCTTTTGGATTTTCTCATTTTGCAGAGATTTCATCTAACATCCTGTTTTGGCTATGGAACAGGAATTGAAGGGAAATCTCTCCAATGGGGACACTAGTTCTGGTGACAATCAGGGATTCTCTCATTTGTGACAACCTTGGGTTTCCTCAGTTTGGAAGGATTTCCTCTAACATTCTGTTTTGGCTGTGGTACAGGAAGTGAAGGGAAATCTCTCCAATGATGACACAAGTTCTGGTGGAAAACTAGCGATTCCCTTATTTTTTTATTTTATGATGAGACCGTAAGTGAAGGGAAATCATTTGGGACAAACTTGGATTTCTTCACTTTGGGGGAATTTCCTTTTAACGTTCTGTTTTGACTATGGAACAGGAAGTGAAAGTAAATCTCCCCAATAGGGACACTAGTTCTGGTGACAACTAGGGATTCCCTCTCCTTCCTGTTTTGGCCATGAGACAGGAAGTCAAGGCAATCCCCCCCAATGGGGACACTAATTCTGGTGACAACCTTGCATTTCCTCACTTTGGAGGGATTTCCTCTACATCCTGTTGTGGTTACGGGACAGAAAGTGAAGGGAAATCTCTCCAAAGGGGACACTAGTTTTGGTGACAACTAGGGATTCCCTCACTTCCTGTTTTGGCTATGAGACAGGAAGTCAAGTAAATCTCCCCAACAGGGACACTAGTTCTGGTGACAACCAGGGATTCTCTCATTTTGTGCCAACCTTGGATTTCCTCACTTTGGAGGGATTTTCTTGAATGCCCTGTTTTGGCTATGGGACAGGAAGTGAAGGGAAACCTCTCCAATGGGGACACTAGTTCTGGTGACAAACTAGCAATTCCATCATTTCCTGATTTGCCTATGTGACAGGAAGTCAAGGCAAATCTCCCCTGGGACAATAGTTTTGATGACAACTAGGGATTCCCTCACCTCCTGATTTGGCTATGAGACAGGAAGTAAAATCATTTGTGACAACCTTGGATTTCCTCACTTTGGGGGAATTGACCCTAACTTCCTGTTTTGGCTATGGGACAGGAAGTCAAGGGAAATCTCTCCAAAGGGGACGCTAGTTCTGGTGACAAACTAGCAATTCCATCATTTCCTGATTTGGCTATGAGACAGGAAGTCAAGGCAAATCTCTCCAATGGGGACGCTAGTTCTGATGTCAACAAGGGAGTCCCTCACTTCCTGATTTGGCTATGAGACAGGAAGTCAAGGCAAATCTCTCCAATGGGGACAATAGTTTTGATGACAACAAGGGAGTCCCTCACTTCCTGACTTGGCTATGATACGGGAAGTATAATCATTTGTGACAACCTTGGATTTCCTCACTTTGGAGGGATTTCCTTGAATGCCCTGTTTTGGCTATGGGACAGGAAGTCAAGGCAAATCTCTCCAATGGGGACACTAATCCTGATGACAACAAGGAATTCCCTCACTTCCTGATTTGACTGAGACAGGGAGTCAAGGCAAATCTCTCCAATGGGGACACTAGTTCTGATGACAACAAGGGAGTCCCTCACTTCCTGATTTGGCTATGATACGGGAAGTATAATCATTTGTGACAACCTTGGATTTCCTCACTTTCGGGGATTTAACTAACTTCCTGTTTTTGGCTATGGGACAGGAAGTGAAGGAAATCTCCCCAATAGGACACAGTTGGCAAAAAAACTTACAGGGGTTATAACCCTCCCTTACTCTATCTAAAATAATAAACATGTTTTGCCTACAGTTCTACTTTAATTAATGGTCAGGAGTAGCAGTTGATCATGACACGGATGGAACACGTGTCTGCCTATGGAGTAAGCATCACATGTAGTGTACAGGAACAATCACATCATGCATGGCTGAATACACCAGCAGATCACTGCTACAACATGGGGAGGACATGCTGCTTGTGTCTTTTACCCCATAGGAACTCCTTGTTCAATCTGGGTCATGATCATTTGCTACTCCTAATAATTAAAAGGTAATACCACTTTTGTGGGAAACATCGAAAATTCAATGCAATATGACAACCTGGAGGTGTCCTTCATACAGATGGTGTGCAGAACACCCCCCAGAAATGTCATTTCCTGCTTGTGCAATTGGCTTGCTGATTTTCCCACAAGTCTGCTCTAAGATGCAGATTAGATTTTAGGCATCTGATGCAACACACTGTTCAGTTTTGGTGAGATACTCCCAAAGGGTTAATCAAATCTAAAGGGATGCAGACCCTGCCACTTTCCTCACTGCCCTGCAGGTGCAGCAGCTGGTTGATAATGATAAAACCACTCCCATACAGGTTCACTGTGCACATGGACACAGACAAGCAAACAGGAATTCACAAGGAATCTGCAAAGTTTGATGACCCCTTCACACCAACAGCACGCAGATATGTGGCCTCACTGAAGTGGGTCTTTATCCACTACTCCCAGCACAGAGACCGGGCTGTCACCAACCGTTGGGGACCTGAGACTCCCGGTTTCTGGTCACCTGATTGCTGTGACAGACTCTGATTGGCTATTACAGGGATCAGTCACTGTGCAGCCCGCCCCTGTGCTTACTTTCTGTTCTGAATGGAGAAAAAGATACATTAATTGAATGGAGAATAGTTAGAACCTCTGTCAGTCTTTTTTTTTTTTTCTTTCTTGAATTGTCGGTGAGATTTTCCTTCACTTCCTGTCCAGGAGACACAAGAAATGAGATGAAATCTCTCCACAGTGAGGGGAGATCACACGTCTCACCCATGTCCCCATAAGGAGATTCCCCCATACCCTCCATTCTAGTGACTGCTGTAAAAGTTTAGACTTCCCCTCGCTTACAGTCCTAGTGATAATGGTTTTAAATGAAACACAGACAGAAAAAAAAAACAACCACTCTAGCACTGCTGTGGGGCAGAGCTTCGTAAATCTAAGGACTGGATGGACAGAAATACAAATCCTCTGCCGTATAACATATCCCATTAACACCACAGTGAAGAAAATAAGTATTTGATCCCCTGCTGATTTTGAATGTTTGCCCACTCACAAAGAAATGATCAGTCTAAACATCGAATGTTCAGTGTATTGTAACACTGAGAGACAGAATAGCAACAAAAAATTCAAAAGAAATGCATGTCTAACAAATGATGACTGATTTGCATGTTCATGAGGGAAATAAGTATTTGATCCCCTATCATTCAGCAGGATTTCTGGTTACCAGGTGTCTTTCATACAGGTAACAAGCTGAGATTAGAAGCAGTCTCTTAAAGGGAGTGCTGCTAATCTCATTTTGTTACCTGTATAAAAGACACCTGTCCACAGGAGCAATCAATCAGATTCCAAACTCTCCACCATGGCAAAGACCAAAGAGCTGTCCATAGATGTCAGGGACAAGATTGTAGACCTACACAAGGCTGGACTGGGCTACCAAACTTTTTGATGACATTTGATGATTTCTACTGTCTTCACTGATTGGTGCATTTATACTTTCTTCCAGCTCTGCAGATCGAATTTGATGAGAAAATCTTCGGGCAGCACCTGGCCAAGCGGGTGGTCTTGAAGGCAGTGCCTAAATTTTTGGAGAACAGAAACCCTAAGAAACCTCTAGTACTTTCCTTTCACGGCTGGACTGGTACCGGCAAGAACTACGTCAGCCAAATCCTGGCCCATTCTATTTATCCCGAGGGCCTGAAGAGTAAACAAGTACATCAGTTTGTGGCCACCCTGCACTTCCCACACGCTAACCTGATAGATGTGTACAAGGTAACAAAGAATATTGATTGTATCTCATTCATTCCACCGGGAACACATTGCTGTCTGTGTCCCTGTTATATGGTTTCCCTCACTTCCTGTCTTGAGGTCCCTAGGACAGGAAATGATGGGAGATTGTCCCAATGTTGTCTGAGACAGCAATAAAATATGAAGGGATTTTTTTGCCCTTCTCTACCAGGAAAAAAAAAAGTTTGGGGTTACTCCAACTACAGACTATGCAGAGGTGAGGCTACGAGGGAGGTCTTCTCTTATGTACCATGCATTTTGATGATATAGTGATTTTAAAGGGTTTTAAAGTGAATCTGCGCATTGCCTATATAGATTACTTTAAAGTGGTTGTGGTTTTTTTACCATTCTATGCATGAAGGTAAAAAAACCAGTGTGCAGCATCCCCCCCAGCCCCCCGTAATACTTACCTGGGCCCCATCCCGATCCAGCGGTGTGCAGGAGAACCTCGGCTCTCCAGGGACTCTCCCTCTTCATTGGTTGATACAGCTGTGGGAGCCAGCTGTCAATCATAGCCAGTGAGGACAGAGAAGGGGCAGCGCCTAACCACGGCTCTGTGTGTGAATGGATACGCACTGCACAGATCACTGCACATGTTTATTTTAAAAAAATGTTTTTTCCCCTCCTAGAAGATTTACCCCCCTTCCTGACCAGGCCATTTTTTGTTATACGACGCTGTGTTACTTAAACTGACAATTGTGCGGTCATGCAACGCTGCACCCAAACAAAATAGATGTCCTTTTTTTCCCCACAAATGGAGCTTTCTTTCGGTGGTATTTGATCTCCTGTGCATTTTTTTTAATTTTTTTGCGCTATAAACAACAAAGCACTGACAATTTTGAGAAAAAAAAAAACCAATATTTTTGACTTTTTGCTAGAAAACATCCAGTAAAAAAATGTAAAAAAATCAAATTTTGTCAAATTTAGGCCAAAATGTATTCTGCTACATGTCTGCTTAAAAAAAAAAAAAAAAAATCCCAATACGTGTAAATTAATTGGTTTACGTGAAAGTTATGGCGTCTACAAATGGTGGTATATATACTGGAATTTTATTTAATTTATTTTTTTATACTAGTTATGGCGGTGATCAGTGACTTATAGCGAGACTGCGATGGGCACTGATTGTCTCTGACATCCCCAGTGACACCAGTACAGTTATCAGTGTTATTAAAAAAGCATGGACACTGTACTAATGGCACTGGGCAGGAAGGGGTTAACATGTGGGGCAGTCAAAGGGTTAACTGTGTGCGTTCTCACTATGTGCTATGCTTTGCTGCTTTGTATTGCTCTGCTAGACGTGCACGCCCCCTACCTGGAAATACAAAATTATATATATATATATATATATATATATATATAGCAGTACTTGTACTATAGCAGTGGTTCTCAACCTTCCTAATGCCGTGACCCTTTAATACAGTTCCTCATGTTGTGGTGACCCCCAACCATAAAATTATTTACCCAGCAATTATAATTCATGAGTGTCGTTTTACCTCCAATACTGCTGCTTTCAACACAGTAGCTGCTTTCAACACAGTAGCTGCTTTCTACACAGCAGCTGCTTTCTACACAGTAGCTGCTCTTTACACATCGGAAATATGTGTTTTCTGATGGTCTTAGGGGACCCCTGTGAAAGGGTCGTTCGACCCCCAAAGGGGTCGCGACCCACAGGTTGAGAACCACTGTACTATAGGGTGGCAGGGAAGCGGTTAATATCACTTTAAAGCTGATCTGCAGACACAAAAAGGTTAAATCAAAGTGGAAAGCAGGGAAGTTCAATATCAAGTACTCGTCCCCTGCTCCCCATTAGGGATTGGCACCTTTTTTTGACAGGTAGCCACTCCTGTCACGATCGCACGGTCGCTGCCACCAACATGCGACAATCGCATGACCGCGACTAACAGTAATACATCACGCCCGCGGCGTCAGACCCCAGACCTTCTCACCAACTCGTGACCGAAGGACCAGCCGATCTAAAAACCGCGGTGTGACGCGCGTATCAAGGCCCCACCCAGCTGCACCCTGCTCAGCGATTGTCCAGCTAATGGGCGCTTGTTACTGGGTCGGGTTAATTACGCAACTAACCCTCTACTGCCACCACCACTTTTGTCGGAGACTGGGAAACTCCCGTTCTCAAATATACACTATAATGATTGAAAAGTCGCCTGTCCAATACGGTCACTGCAGGCCGATTGGGCAGAGGATTAAAAACAGTTTAACACTTTCAGAAAGTAAGATTTATTACTAAAAGAGTCAAACAGGTGCAATAAAATTCCAAGAGAAAAACAAACGAAACCAGCGCTCCAATCTTCATGCAGACCAAGGAATTGTCAAAATGCCAACCGAAGAGGTGCTGCCCTTCTAAGATCGGGAAATCTGACCACTGGTAAATAAAAACAAAACGGGACTTTATGGGCACTGATGGAAGAGTTTATCCCATAGGCCAGTTTATTAACTGCAGCACACAGTTTGTCATCTATTGCCAGGTTTGCCCATGCGGTCTCTTTTACGTGGGTCGCATCACACACTCCCTGAGGACTCGATTTGGGAAGCATAAACGTAATATATTGCATGGTTTTGACAAACATACAGTGCCTTGTCACTTCAGCGACAAACATGATGAAATCCTGTGGGTCTCAAGGTGTTTGGTATAGAAAGTGTATATCAGGAGATATTGATTCTGGCCGAAGATTCCGTAAACTCTGCCAATGAGAATCCTATTGGATCCATAAATTGGACACATTATTACCCAAGGGCCTTAATGATGCTCTTGACGTACAATCTTTGGTATAGTCTCCTCTTGACAAATTGGAACTATTATTTATTTTATTTTTTTTTCCCCTCTTTTGGTCTTTGTTTTGGTCTGTTTTCTGCCTCCTTTTGCCTTCTATTTTTGCATGATTCTATTATATTTATTTAATCAATTATTTTTAGTTATTTTTTGCATTATTTCATCATATTCATCCAATTAATCATCAATTTACACTTATATTTATTCAAAAAAATTCCTCATTCATATGATAGACATGATTGTTACAGCAAAGCTTTGTATTGCTATTTGGCTGAATCACCTTGAGATAATATACACATTAATTTATTTTGGAAATGGTTTATAACTACTATTTTATAACATTATATAGAAAATATATTTTTCAATTTTACTGTTTACCATTTCCTCGTGTTCCATGATGCTGTGCATCTAGGTTATTTATAAACGGTTTATTATTTTATTACATTATATCAAATATGCACTATATTAAATTTGTAATGTACATTGTGAATACATCTTGTATATGTTTTTATACTATTTTTTATCACTATATGTAATTGTATTTTATTGTTTTAGCAACTTTTTACACACATTGTGTTATTTATATTCTCTACCATGTACATTCATGGTGTGTCTCTGCTGACCCAGCCTGTGTTCCACTGTGGGCTTTCCCTTTTTTTTTTTTTTTGTTCCATCTATGTAAATTGTAGATGCACCCATTTGGCCATTATTGGCAGCACAGCCCTGGTGCCACTTGGGGGTCACCACGTTTCCTTCCCATTTATATGGGTATATTTTTATATATTTTTCTATACTTCTACTATTGCATTATTGCATTTCTGCCTGTCGGGCTGCAGGGCCTCTGGCGCATGCGCGCGCCTGTTCTTTTGGAACACTGTGTGCACGCGCAGCGCCTGTGGCCAGTGGCGCAGCGTGATTAGTGTCACGTGGCGCGCATGTGCTAGCGAGTCGTGTTACCGCCTCTCGCCACTGCGGTTGGATATTCTAGCGCACGCGCGGCCCGCATATCGGGTGCGGCGTGTGCTTGACGCGCTCCCACAGTGTGTGACGTGGTGGGAATCCCACCACCAATACGAGCCTTCATGTCCCCGTACAGCAGTGGTTCTCAACCTGTGGGTCACGACCCCTTTGGGGGTCGAACGACCCTTTCACAGGGGTCACCTAAGACCATCAGGAAAACACATATTTCTGATGTGTAGAGAGCAGCTATTCTGTTAAAAGCAGCTACTGTGCTGAAAGCAGCTACTGTGCTGAAAGCAGCTACTGTGCTGAAAGCAGCAGTATTGAAGGTAAAACGACACTTCATAAATTATAATTACTGGGTAACTAATTTTATGGTTGGGGGTCACCACAACATGAGGAACTGTATTAAAGGGTCGCGGCGTTAGGAAGATTGAGAACCACTGCCGTACAGTATTGTGGCGCACCAGCGCCGTATGTGCTCCAATGCACCCATCGCGTGCACGCATGTTTGCCGGGCGGTGGCAGTTTGCCCCCCCCTTTTCCCTTATGTGCGTGGTGACGTATCGGGATGGTGCCTCTTTCATCAGGGTCACACTTGTGAGAGTGAGTGCTTCCACAGCAAGTTTTATTGACTAATCCTTTCATGTGTACGTTTTATTATTCATCATGTAATATGCATCTATCCATTTATTTTAATTAATCATTAATTTAATCATTTATTTATTATTTATTAAGTATCTATTCATCACCAATCACCACACACAATATACGTATTACATGTCAACTAGTGTATTTTGCATACAGCACACTGATGATAGTTGTTTCTGGGTCTATGACACTGTCATTTCCATTTTGTATATATATAGTTAGTTTTTTTTTTTTTTTGTCAGCTGAGAGTGGGTGGGAGTGTCTTCTTTCACCCTCCTTCTGACATCCCATTAGTATATAGGCTTGTGGCCAGCAGACACATCCCTAGCTCTGAGGAAGGGGGTTTAGCTCCCGAAACGCGTCAGCTTATCCGCATCATTAGACACAGTTTGCATTGTGACTGTATTTGTGGATCACCTTTACTGCCTATAATCACATTGGTTTGTGAGTATACATCTTTTTATTTAATAAATTACGTGTTATTCCACGGTAATGCACGATGCGGTGCAATAAAATATTTACAAAGAAAATGTAAAAAAAAAAAAAAAATATATATATATATATATATATATATATATATATATAGGTACAGTAAAGAGATAATAGGAAGGAAGTTAAAGGATTAAGTTACTTGCCAATATGTCTTGGTTTGTAAGCAGATCCAAGTGCAGAGCAGGAAGAGTCTTTGATCTCCTCTGTTATGATGTTAAACTCAGGAGATGTGTGTTTAAGCTAAACTTGCAGCCTTGCAGCCTGTCCCTTTTAAAAATCCCTCTGAAAGGGGGGGTGGCTCTAGTCTGCCCAATACAATATTTTGGGCAGGAGGTCAGTGGACTCTCAATTAAAACCAGGGTGGATTTGATTTAAATGAAACTGATTTAAATTACGATTTAAATCACTAGTCAGTAAGGCTTGATTTAAATCCTAGTTTTCTACATAAAGACTAATTCTTGCTGGTATAACTTTAATATACAAGTAGATGAAGATTTTTAGAATAACTTTTCATATTAGTTTTTTTATCTCCAGTTTAATAGGTTAATCATTCATATTTGGAGAACTTTTCTGTTGTACTTAGGAAGGAGAAAAATAATCATTACCTTAATAATAACAATTTAAATAGATTTATTCAACTGAAACAATAACATTCCAGCATATGTGATTTGCTTAAACATCCATGTTTGTTAACTAATTTGGTTAAAGAAAATATATATATTTTAAGAAACTTAGACTCTTTTTCTTAACTCTGTTCATGTTATAACATTTTTGCTGTGAAGAAGAGGCATGTGATCTCCGCTGAGTCAAATTCAGTTTTGAGAACTGCAAAAGTAAACCAATCATCTGTGATAATATCTTGTAGGCAGAGAAACTGCCCAATAATCTTACAAAAACCTCTGGAAGAGCATGACATTGTGAATGGATTCATGGAATTTATTTACCAAAACAATTAAACATATACAGCCTTATTCTACATAATTAAAAAACTAATCTTTATTTCATGATGGAATAACCTTTTGGATGGTAATTTTTCCTCAAAAAGCATTTTTATTCAAAAAAATCTGATTTGAAATAAAAAAAAAATCTGATTTGAAATAAAAAAAAATCCGATTTGAAATAAAAAAAAAATCCGATTTGAAATAAAAAAAAATCCGATTTGAAATAAAAAAAAAAATCCGATTTGAAATAAAAAAAAATCCGATTTGAAATAAAAAAAAATCCGATTTTGAAAAAAAAAAAAAAAAAAAAAAAAAAAAAAAAAAAAAAAAAAAAAAAAAAAAAAAAAAAAAAAAAAAAAAAAAAAAAAAAAAAAAAAAAAAAAAAAAAAAAAAAAAAAAAAAAAAAAAAAAAAAAAAAAAAAAAAAAAAAAAAAAAAAAAAAAAAAAAAAAAAAATAAAAAAAAAAACCGATTTGAAATAAAAAAAAAAATCCGATTTGAAATAAAAAAAAAATCCGATTTGAAATAAAAAAAAATCCGATTTGAAATAAAAAAAAATCCGATTTTAAATTAAAAAAAAAAATCCGATTTTAAATTAAAAAAAAAAAATCCGATTTTAAATTAAAAAAAAAATCCGATTTTAAATTAAAAAAAAAAATCCGATTTTTTAATTAAAAAAAAAAATCCGATTTTAAATTAAAAAAAAAAAATCCGATTTTAAATTAAAAAAAAAATCGATTTTAAATAAAAAAAAAATCCGATTTTTTTTTTTTTTTTTTTTTTTTTTTTTTTTTTTTAAAAATCATTGATTTTTATCCACCCTGATTAAAACTTCATACTCCATGATATGCTTCATACTCCATGATATGAAACATAGGTGACAGCTGACCTGAGGAATGTTCAATTAACTGCTGGTCAGTTTTATGAGGTTCCAACTTCTTTCAAGTCCAGGGAGAAGTTCTTATCTGTTTTATGATGGGTGAAAGAGGTTACACTTTCCGCAGACTGCCTGGCACCGGGACTAGGGATGCTTTACTCTGTGGTTGACCCCCCCCCCCATCTGTCACTCAGGAGATAACGTTTGCCTCGCAGGAAGGGAGGGGGTAGGGAGTGAATGATCGAGGAATACCTCAAATAAAAGGAAAAGGGGAACTCCACGTCCAACTCTGATGAGCAAGTTTGCTACAACTCCCACTTCCACTCTGACCGCCAGGGCGACTATTATTTATTTCAGGTACTTATATAGCGCCGTCAAATTACGCAGCACTTTACATATGTATTGTACATTCACATCAGTCCCTAACCCTCAAGGGGTGTACAATCTAAGGTCCCTAACTCACATTCATATACAAGAGCCAATTTAGACAGGATCCAATTAACCTACCAGCATGTCTTTGGAGTGTGGGAGGAAACCGGAGTACCCGGAGGAAACCCACGCAGGCACAGGGAAAACATGCAAACTCCAGGCAGGAGGCGCCGTGGCTGGGATTTGAACCAACGACCCTAGTACTGCCAGGCGGAAGTGCTAACCATTTAGCCTCTGTGCTGCCCAACTAGAAGCAGAGGCTCTTCCTTGGGAAGAGAAGGGCAAATCTCCCCAAAATGCAGGAAAATCCTAAATCTGACAGTTGTCACGGGAACATGTGTCCCTGTGGTAAGTTTCCTCCCTGCTGTCAGTTTTGATCACCATATTTTGATTTAATCACTTTTTCTAATAAAACCGGGAAAAACCATGAAGTTGAATCCCTCCTCATCTGGGACCCAGACCACAAAACACTGTAATACCAAAAAAAAGAAAATGTTTTGTTCAGGGTTATACTTTAATACGGTGTTGGGGAGTGGCTGTGCTCAGTCAGACATGCTGATAGGTGAAAGCAGAGGGATGACTTCATCAGTCTGTTGCTGCTGCCACTCTTTGCCTGTCCAGTCAGGCTGAGGGTGGAGAGGGGACACCATGGATTTCCCCAATTGTAAGTGACCCTTCTGGCTGTGCTGTCTTGCAGCACAGTGTATATCCCAGGACAGGATGGACAGAAATGCAAATCCTTATACAGGTAAAACTGATACATGAAAGTTGATGTGTTTTATCTGTTTAGCTTTGGGAATGTGAAACCCATTGAAGCAGATAAGCAGGTCAGAATGTCATATGCATCTGTTCATGAATTCTGAATGATCTCAGAAGCTCACTGATGCCTAAACTAATATAATCAACACAAGCTCAAAGCCCATCTGCACAGGCCATGACTTCAGTTCTACATGAGAATGTACACCGATCAACTGTATGACCACCCACCTAATATTGAGAAGGTCCCCCTTTGCTGCCAAAACAGCCCTGACCCACTGAGACATGGACAACACTAGACTTCTGAAGGTACGCTGTGGTATCTTCACGCCAACAGTTGCAGATCCATTTAAGTCCTGTAAGTTACAAGGAGGGTCCTCCATGGATCGGACTTGTTTTTCCAGCACATCCCACAGATGTTCGATTTGGATTGGGATCTGGAGAATTTGATGGCCAAGTCAACACCTTGAACATGTTGTGTTCCTCCAAACATTCTTGATTCATTGAGGCCACTGCCATCAGGGAATACAGTTTCCATGAAGGGGTGTACTTGGTCACCAACAATATTTAGGTAGGTGGTATGTGCTAAATTAACATCCACATGAATGGCAGAACCCAAGGTTTCCCAGCAGGACTATGCCCAAAGCATCACACTGCCTCTGCCAGCTTGCCTTCTGCCCATACTGCATCTTGGTGCTGTCTCTTCCCCAGGTAAGCAATGCACACGCAGTTGGCCATCCATATGATGTAAAAGAAAACAAAATTCACTAGCCCAGACCACCTTCTTCCATTGCTCTGTGGTCCAGTTCTGATGCTCACATGCACATTGTAGGCTCTTTTAGCTGTGGACACGGGTTAGCATGGGCACCCTGACCGCTCTGCAGCTACACAGCCCCATACACAACAACCTGTGATGCCCATTTTTTCTGCTTTCAACACATCAGCTTCATGGACAACATGAAATTGAATCTCCAAACACGGAAAGGTTTCTTCACAGTGAGAGCTGTGAAAATGTGGAATAGACTCCCTCAAGAGTTGGTTCTGGCCAGCTCACTGGATTGCTTCACAAAAGTCCTGGATTCTTTCTTAGATACACAGAATATAACTGGATATAACATTTATAGGTGAAAGTTGATCCAGGAAATATCTGATTGCCTCTCAGGGGGATCAGGAAGGATATGCTTGCTGTAGCCAGCTGCTGACTTATTGTGTTAATGCTGTTTTTTTTTGTTTTTTTTTTGTAAACGGTTGTGGTTTTATAGGACCAGTTACAGTTGTGGATCCGAGGGAACGTGTCGGCCTGCCAGCGATCCATCTTCATATTTGACGAGGTAGATAAAATGCAGCCTGGCCTGATGGACGCCATAAAGCCTTTTCTCGATTACTATGAGCAGATTGGTGGCGTCTCCTACACCAAAGCCATCTTCATTTTCCTCAGGTAAGTGCAGAGCCGCTGGAAATCAGGATGTTAATTACAGAGGATCATTTTCCTATGAAAGACCACATTTATTAATCAGTTTAATGGGAAGAAATGGTAATTTCTCATTGGAAGCCTATTATGAGTAATCACTGCAGTGTTTTGCGTGTTAAAAGTCCTTTTTATGTGACTTTTACATTTTTCCCATGCATTCCTATTTTTGTTAATTTATTAAAGAGAATCTGTAGTAAGAGACAATGGAGGCTGCCTTTGCTCGCCTACATCTATAAATGCTGGTGGTTCTTCTTGTGACTGATCCTGATCTTTTTTTGGTCATAGTGTTTGGTAATTATTTTTAGTGGTTTCTAATACATCAGTGATTTGCATAAAAAAAAGACATTCCCAGCGTTGTTTTCTTATGTAGTATTTGGTAAAAATGCTGTTTGCCTTGCTGTCTCTGGTTTTAAAGCTGAACTGCAGTAGTTCAGCTGCTTTGTAAAAAATGCAGTCATATGAGTTCAATGAGTACGTTGAACATTCCACCTCCTGGACTTACAGGTGAAACGCGAAAAATTAGAGTATGGTGCAAAAGTTCATTTATTTCAGTAATGCAACTTAAAAGGTGAAACTAATATATGAGATAGACTCATTACATGCAAAGCAAGATAGTTCAAGCCGTGATTTGTCATAATTGTGATGATGATGGCTTACAGCTCATGAAAACCCCAAATCCACAATCTCAGAAAAATAGAAAATTGTGAAAAGGTGCAATATTCTCGGCTCAAAGTGTCCCACTCTAATCAGCTAATTAAGCCATAACACCTGCAAAGGGTTCCTGAGCCTTTAAATGGTCTCTGTCTGGTTCAGTAGGAATCACAATCATGGGAAAGACTGCTGACCTGACAGTTGTGCAGAAAACTATCATTGACAACCTCCATAAGGAGGGAAAGCCTCAAAAGGTAATTGCAAAAGAAGTTGGATGTTCCCAAAGTGCTGTATCAAAGCACATTAATAGAAAGTTATGTGGAAGGGAAAAGTATGGAAGAAAAAGGTGCACAAGCAGCAGGAATGACCGCAGCCTGGAGAGGATTGTCAGGAAAAGCCATTCAAAAGTGTTGGACTTTCAAAAGGAGAGGATTGAGGCTGGAGTCAGTGCATCAAGAGCCACCACACACAGACGGTTCCTGGACATGGGCTTCAAATGTCGTATTCCTCTTGTCAAGCCGCTCCTGAACAACAAACAACGTCAGAAGCGTCATACCTGAGCTAAGGAAAAACAGACCTGGTCTGTTGCTCAGTGGTCCAAAGTCCTCTTTTCTGATGAGAGCAACTTTTGCATCTCATCTGGGAACCAAGGACCCAGAGTATGGAGGAAGAATGGAGAGGCACACACTGCAAGATGCTTGAAGTCCAGTGTGAAGTTTCCACAGTCTGTGTTGATTTGGGGAGCCATGTCATCTGCTGGTGTTGGTCCACTGTGCTTCATTAAGTCCAGGGTCAACGCAGCCGTCTACCAGGAGATTTTGGAGCACTTCATGCTTCCTTCCGCAGACGAGCTTTATGGGGATGCGGACTTCATTTTCCAGCAGGACTTGGCACCTGCCCACACTGCCAAAAGCACCAAAACCTGGTTCAATGACCGTGGGATTACTGTGCTTGATTGGCCAGCAAACTCGCCTGACCTGAACCCCATAGAGAATCTATGGGGCATTGCCAAGAGAAAGATGAGAGACATGAGACCGAACAATGCAGAAGAGCTGAAGGCCGCTATTGAAGCATCCTGGTCTTCCATAACACCTCAGCAGTGCCACAGGCTGATAGCTGCCATGCCACGCCGCATTGAGGCAGTAATTGCTGCAAAAGGGGCCCAAACCAAGTACTGAGTACATATGCATGCATATACTTTTCAGAGGTCCGATATTGTTCTATGTACAATCCTTGTTTTATTGATTGCATGTAATATTCTAGTTTTCTGAGATTGTGGATTTGGGGTTTTCATGAGCTGTAAGCCATAATCATCACAATGATGACAAATCACGGCTTGAACTATCTTGCTTTGCATGTAATGAGTCTATCTCATATATTAGTTTCACCTTTTAAGTTGCATTACTGAATTAAATGAACTTTTGCACGATATTCTAATTTTTCGAGTTTCACCTGTATGTTTAATATTTACATCTGACAAGAATTCATTCCCTTCCCCCCACTCCTCACCCTGATACCCCTACTTATACCTTCTCCATTTACATCTTGTTTTCTTCTTTTTTCTCCTTTGACTTTTTTTTATATCTTGTTGCTTACTAAACTGCCAACCATAATCCCGCTTAATAAGGCCCCTGCTCAGTGGTTGTACACTAAGTAAGCCATAGCCAGGGCAACAAGCACCGTAGGATGCAAACTCATATTCCACCATATTAGCAGCTCCTTACACAAGCACCCCACTTTGGAGTACTAACAAAAGCTCCTGTCTGTCACACCCATCTACTACTAGGAACAGCTGTTTTAATGCTACTTAGGCCCTTTTCACACAAGCAGACTCTGCCAAGCGGATTCGCCTGCTCGGTGTGGATCTGTCCGCTGAGCAGGCAGATGGCAGATCCATGTCTGCTCTTTGTGCAGACACAGCCTGTTGTTTTCAATGGGGCAGTCTGATGTAAACAGACCTCATGTCCGTTTTACATCTGACTGTCATCAGATCAGCTAGACGGATGGGCATTGGATCCCCCATCTGTCTGTTCTTAGCGGATTGGATCAGATGCAGGCGGGTGTAAACACACATGTCCGTTTACATCTGACTGTCATCAGATCAGCTAAACAGATGGGCATTGGATCCCCCATAAAGAACAATGGATGTCAGACCTGATCGTTCCGCCCGTGTGAAAGGGGCCTTACACAACTGAGCTGTATAGACAGTATGTCTTCACATCCTGACGATGTTTAATTTACAATTATTATAAATTCCTATAATGTAGTGACATGTATTCTAAACCTCAATGTAAACGTATTGAAACAATGAATAAACCCAGAGGAGCAGAACAATGTAAAACTTCCAGGTGGACAGGACGAGTGTTGCAGAGTCAGGAACTATGGGAAAGAGATCTCATTGTTGTATCCAAAATGTATAATAAGATGGGGGCTTACTTTAGCTCCTCAGGCTCCACCTATACCTAAAATGTTCAGTTTAGGTGGACTGACCTTTTAACAGCATAGGTCTTGCCATTGCGGAGAAACTTCCATACTTTATAGTTGTTTCTAGTACTGATTCATATTCCTGACGCTTTACTTCTTTGCTTCAGTAATGCTGGAGGAGAGTACATTTCAGAGCTGGCCTTGGATTTCTGGAAGACTGGAAAGAATAGGGAAGATATCAAGCTGAGTGATGTGGAACACCATTTATCCCTCTATGCCTTCAACTCAAAGGATGGTGAGTATAGAAGCAGAGAGTGAAGTAGAAGAGAAGCCTAACTTTATTCTTAAAGGAGAAGTGTGGGATCACAAATAAACATCTATACTCACCTGCCTGTTGAAGCATCGGGGTAATGCTGCTGCTGTTCCCCCGCCAACTCTAAGCCTGAGCAACCACTGTCCGTCACCGCTCTCTGCCCCTTCATTGCTCACTGAGCTGAGGCAGCGCAGCTGACTTTGGCTCTCAGCCGTATGCTGACAGGCTGAGCCAGCTGCTGCCAGGCATCTGGGTGGATCCCAAAATTGTCAGGATCCTTCCAAAGTCTGCAGCAGCTCTGTGATGTCAGCCGACAGCAGATTTTGCCGACACAAGCATGCAGAAGTAAGTTGTGATCCAGATAAGAAGTATAGCCAAAAAAATCCTACCTATCCTTCATACACTGTATAAAAAAAAAAAAATCTGTGTACATATCTACTTTTCATCTGGTTACATGACCCAACAGCTTCTGCTCCCCTGTGTCTCGAGAGCCTATAGGTGACCTCATGGCTCTTGGAAGCACAGCCATTGTAAGCACTCCATTACACAGGGGAGTCAGAGCTGCAGGATCACATGACTGGACCGAAGTGCAAAAAAGGTATGTATACAGGTCTTTTTTTTTTTTTTTTTTTTTTTTTTTTTTTTTTTATGCAAGGTAGGCAGCTTACAACTTACAAGTTTAGGGCTGAACTCCATCCAAAAACAATATTTAGACATGTACACTATAAAAATACATTGGCATTAATGAGGTGTATACTGTGTATAAGCTGCAGCATTCTTCTAGCGCCTGTTAGCTGTTCAGGAGGCAATACCTACACCTCCTGATGCTTGGGGTGTGTGTTGTTGTTTTTTTTTTTTTTTTTTTATTTTTAATTGCTGAATGGTAATTTTACATTATGGGAGTGGGTCGCAACTGTGAGCTGAGTGTTTGGCTCTTGTTATAGGTGAGTTTGACAGGCAGCGCCAACTGTCACACTCTGCAACCTGATTAAAAATGCTGCAGCATGTGTGTACTGTCCTGTCTGGCTGTAATGTTCATTTCAATGGACTAAAATCATGCCGGACCGCAGCAAAGTTAGTGCATGCACTGCTATACAAAACACACTGCAACTGGATTGCATGATACTGTACCATGCGATCTGGTGCAGGCAAACCCACTGCATTTGTGACCTGTGTTTGGGGTGTTAGCATTGCAAGGGCAGTGCGTTTTAAATGCATTACGGGAAACACACATGGAAAGCGGGTTTACCACACTGCATTCTGGGGGACCTGGCCCTTCTAGTTTAGTGCTAGCCCTCCACACACTTGGCAGGTCTGGTATGACATTGTCCTTACTTGCACCGTCTAGGGGCAACCAGCAGCAGGGAACCGCTCTATGTTGAACTCCAAGGAGATGCACAGCACATCACAAAGTTGCTCCTTGTAGTTTGCGGACCAAATTGGCGTGCCGGTGACATTGTAATCATTGCAGCAGTGTCCAGTATCAGAAAGTGATCACTCACCCAGGGCTCAATGAATCAATGGATCATTAGTCCAGGTTTAAGTGAGCAAAATTCCAGCATCTTTCATGAAGCTGCAGATGAACAAACACCTTTTCTGCGCATTACCGTACGTACAAATGCACAGGGGACAGGTTTTATTTTCTTTTTCTTTTTTCCACTTTTCTTGCTCATGTTTTAGAGGACACCAGGCCATGCTATAATGTATGATCTACCGTCTGCAATACTTTGGTATTCTAGGAACACCTACTTTTGGGCCTGTACTTCTGCTGGCTAGGAATTCTCAGATTTGTCTGCCAGTGTCTCAGAAAGTTATAAAAACCTTTACCTTTCTGCCCTCCATCCTCCCTCTGCTGCAACCTCCTGGAAGCACAGGGAGGTGGAGTTCCAAAGGGGAGAAGTTGCACAGAGTTTGTGTTAAGAGTTTGCAGACCCGACTGTTGACATTTTTGAAACCCTTTTCTATCTCCTCCTTAACCACTTCCTGTCTGGCCGTTGTATATAAACGGCCGGACGGTGGCAGTGCAGGGTCGGGTGGGCGTTTAGAAACGGCCTCCCCACCCCTTGCTTGTGCGTGCTCCCTGGGAGTGCGCAGCACTGCGATCCGGTGCCCGCTGTGTCCTCGGACACAGTGGAACACCGATCGTCGTACGGGACCTCTGTGCGAGGTCCCGATCATGTGATCACTGATTGGCCAGTCAGTGATCGCATGCAGAGTAGTAAGCAAGATGTCACTTCTGACATCATTGCTTACTACGTGTGAAATCTGTGAATGATCATAGAGGTCACATGGTACAAGGCTATTCACAACAGCATTGTACCATGTGACAAGCTGTGACCAATCACAGCTCACACAGTAGTTCTCAATGGCTGCAAGAATGCAGGCAGAGAGGAGAAATGATTGCTTTTACAGCCTTTATGGGTGTAAAAGCAATCAGTATAAAAAAAAAATCTTCATCACCCCCCACAAGTAGTACAGTGTCACCATGGTGACACTGTACTGCTAGGGTGACCGTATGTAAAAAAAAAAAAAAAACAAAACACAATAATATAAAAAAAAAATACAAATGTAAAAAAAAGTTTAAAAATTATAACTTTTGGTTATAAACTAATTTGGATTATTTTGTTTTTTTTTACTAAAAAGATAACTGAATACACTTTGGCCAAGATTTATGATGAAATATTTATTTGCAAAATGTTATAAGAAAAACACTTTTTTTCAACGTTTTTGGACATTTTCATTTATATAGCAAAAAAAAAAAAATCCCAGTGGTGAATAAATACCACCAAAATAAAGTTTTATCTGTCTGAAAAAAATGCTAAAAAATTCATATGGGTACAGTGTTGCATGACCGCACAATTGTCATTCAAAGTGTGATAGCGCTGAAAGCTGAAAATTGGCCAGGACAGGAAGGGGGTGAAAGTGTCCGGACTTGAAGTGGTTAAGGGATTAGCCACTTCCTACCCATGGGGTGTATACAGCATCAGGTTGTAGTGGTTATACCAGGATCATGGTTGCAGCTACAACCATGATCCTGGTATTAATCTTTGCAGCCGGTGATTCCCTGCAATGTAAAAGTGATCACTTTTACAGGAGGCAAAAAGGGCGGAAGGGGTCCTGTCCTATCTGGAGCCTGGTGGCTGCATCCAATGCCCAGGACAGACTTTAAAGAATGAACGTTTTTCCTTTCCCTCTGTGATGTCAGAAACTGGAAACAACTAGGATTTCGTCACTTCCAGTTTCAGTGGATAAAAATATAAAGGTACAGTGTGAAAAAAATAAATTTTAAATATAATTAAAAAAATAAAAGCATTTAAAGCAGCACACCCATGCTGGTAAGTCCTGCACACGTGAGGTATCACCACGAACATCATAGTGAGAGTAATAATTCTAGCAACAGACTTCCTGTGTAACTGAAAACTGGTAACCTGTATAAGCTTTTAAAACATTGTCTATGGATAATGAAATGTACTGTAGTGGCTTGGCGTGACACCATATTTTATATTTTGGCAAAAAATCAGGTATTGTATTTGTTTTCACTACATATCATTAAAGTGTATTTTTTTAAATTGCTTTTGAAAAACCGGTGTGTGAATATCGTGACATAAAAAAATTGCAGCACCCGCCATTTTATTCTCTAGGGCTTCTCCTTAAACCAAATATATATACTGTTCAGGGATTCTAAGTAATTTTCTAGCAAAAAAAAAAAAAAAAAATGCAGATTTTTATATGTATGAAAGAATGTCAGAATTGGCCTGAGGGTCAGGTATAGAATGTATTATAAGGCCTCATGCATACTGGACGTTATAAAATGTCAGCAGCTTTAGCTGTAGAAAGCTGCGTTTTGAAAGCTGAGTTTTTTTTGTCACGTTGTTGCATACACGTTTTGCCGCGTTAGCATTTTGTTTGCAGAAAAAACACCTGCTCTGCTATTTTACTCCCACTTTCCCACAATGCATCCCTGAATTTTCATTGTGTAGGTGTTTAGTTGCCATTTTGAGAGCGGTTTCAAATCTGCGTGGAGCAAAATATGTATTTGGGCATGCTAACTGCATACGTGAGGTACATGCAGATGCAAAAATTGTGCATGCTTCATCTGCGTGGGGCCAACGCAGTTGGCTACGTGAGCTACATGCAGAGGAAAAAATGTTCATGTTTTGTCTGTGTGAAGCACAAATATGCAGTTGGCCATGCTAATTGCATATGTGAGCTACACTCCGGTGAATAAATGTTGATGTTTTGTCTGCATGGCCATGCTAACTGCATATGTGAGCTGCATGCAAAGGAAAACATCTACATGTTTTGTCTGCATGGAACACAAATATGCAATTGACCATGCTAACCGCATATGTGAGCTACATGCAGAGGAAAACATTTTTCATGTATCATCTGCGTGATGCAAATGCAGTTGGCCACGTGAGCTACACGCAGAGGAAAACACTTTGCATGTATCATTTGCATGAGGTCAATGCAGTTGGCCACGTGAGCTACACGCAGAGGAAAACATTTTTGCCTGTATCATTTGTATGAGGTCAATGCAGTTGGCCACGTGAGCTACACGCAGAGGAAAACACTTTGCATGTATCATCTGCATGAGGTCAATGCAGTTGGCCACGTGAGCTACACACGCAGAGGAAAACACTTTGCATGTATCATCTGCATGAGGTCAAGGCAGTTGGCCATGTGAGTTACACGCAGAGGAAAAAATGTTTGTTTCATCTGCGTGGAGCACAAATATACAGTTGGCCATGCTAACTGCATACATGAGCTAAACTCGGGTGAAAAAAAATGTTCATGTTTCCTCTGCATGGATCCGAATTATGCAGTTGGCCAGATAATGAAAGCAAGAGCAGCAAAGCACACTGGGAAATGTAGGAATCTTAAATTGCTTGAGGCTCAAAAATGCGCCTAGCCACGTTTTTACCGCTCGAGTGTTTTTGCAGCTCAAAACTCTTCAGATGTGGTAGTCCTTGCTTTTTTTTTTTTTTTTTTTTTTTTTTTTTCCAGCCTGAAATCCCTCCTGCAAAAAAATGCTGATTAAAAGCCTGTGTGTGCATGGACCACATAGGATAACATGCTGGGGAGTTTACTGGCTGTAGAAAAAAATGCCTGAAGCCAAAAACAGCAGCTGTAAAAACACGCAGTGTGCATGAGGTCTAAAGCTTAGATTAAGGTAAATTTTACCAGTGTTTCCTGTACTGTAGTTTCAGTATATTGAAAAATATTACTTCTTCGCCTGAGTCACTGAATATTCCTATTTGCTGTTTCTCCATCTACAGGTGGCTTGTGGCACAGCAGTCTGATAACAAAAAACCTAATTGACTTCTTTGTGCCATTCCTCCCAATGGAATTTGAGCATGTGAAGATGTGCGTGAGGGCGGAGCTTCGTCAGCGTGGCTTTATGGTCGATGAAGACATGGTCAGCACAGTGGCCAAAGAGATGACTTACTACCCCAAGGAGGAAAAAATTTACTCTATTAAGGGGTGCAAAACTGTGTCTGCAAAAATGCAGTATTATCTATGAACTGGCAATGCGTTGTGTAGATGGTATTGGAAGGTGGAGGAAAGAGGACGTCACTTTTAAGACCAGCATTAGGATCCATCCATAAGTGAGGAAGGCAGCTGAGATGATGGCTTTTTCTCCTCTCCGAGGAAATGGGAGTGACATCTGAGAGCGGAAACCTCCCGTCGCTGTATGATGAACTCAGTGCACTTTGTTTGGAAACCTTGGGCTCTTTGTTGGAAACCACTAAACCAAGACCAGAGAATCATTTGCAGAAACTCTTGAAAGACAATTCCACCCATCAAAGATAAATACACTGTGAAAATGTTTACCTGAATGATTTACTGTGCCTTATGGAGGTTCACAGCTGTTTTTAACGTTTTGGGTTTTTGTAAACTCCGCCCCATGCATGCACTTTGGGTTACAAAGCTGGCCATACACTGATAGACTCTAAATGATTCCTCCATCTATGCTGAATAGCACGGATGGAGGAATCTCATGCTGCAGCTATTGTATCCTAACAGCCCTCCTGCCAGCTGTCAAAATAGGCAAACTATGGTTGCATTTGATTGGATGCAGCTACTGTTCAGCGGACAATTTTCCACCTTGATCCTCCAATATTTCAACTGAAGGATGTTAAGCCGGAGGTGGCCAACAGGGCCACCCACCAAGTGCATTTTGGCCAAAAGGCAAAACTTTTTTTTTTTTTTTTTCTTTCAATTTTGGGCAGAGTGGAGTTGGATTAGAACACCTGTCAGGTTTTTACTGCTGTCTGTGCCCCCGTTAGGTGGATTTACCTTCTCTATTTGTTCCTGTTTACTGTTATCACCAAGAGTGAAAGTGAAATAATACCCCAGTATTTGGGTTGTCACCAGAACAGAAGAGGGAAAATCTTCCAATGGGGACACTAGTTCTGGTGATAACAAGGCTTTTCCTTTCACTTCCTGTTTTGGTTACAGGGCAGGAAGTGATGGGAAATCTCCCCAGTGGAACATAGTGGATTGACATGGGTTATAGCCATCACTCTATCCAAAAAAAGAAAAACAAATGGGCCTTTAGTTCTTCTTCTTTAAACCTCGTACACGCTGGATTCTGGCTATGTGTACTGCAAGATCCTGCATTACATTTAAAAAGCTTTTTGCCACTTCTTTAAAGACTTAAAGTAAGTCTAGTTTTGGGTTGTTAAAGTCGAATTCCAGCCGTACCCTAACTAGTCTTTAAAATGTCCCCTCGTAGCATCTGTGCTGACTAACCTGTGTGTATTAAAAAAAAAAGCAAGAGCTATATATACTTACTTATTCTCAGCCTGCTCTGGTCTGGTCATATTATCCAGCTCCCCTGTGTCAGCTAGTGGCAGCTGCAGGGGAGAGGAGGGACAACGACCAAGAATGGCAGGGACATGGGAGCCTCTGGGTGACTTTACCACTCCTGGAATTCCCAGCCATTGTTAAACGCTCTCCCCTCTCCCCTGCAGCTGCCAGGGGAGATCACGTGTCCAGAGCTAGCTGAAAATAGGTAAGTATACAGATCCTTTTTTTTTTTTCTTTGTTTTTTTTTCTTTTTTTACACAGGTTAGGCAGCATAGATGTTATGAGGAAGAAGGTTCCGGCTGGAATTTTACTTTAAAACATATGTTAATGTGAGGGCTAGCTCCTAAAACAAGCTGCTAGCAGGGTTTCCATAAGTTGCAGCATAACTTGAAATATTCATTGAAGCCTGTTTAAAATGTATGTCAGAAGCCCCATTATGATCTTTGTATAGCATCCCTAAACTGGAGCCCAAGATTGTTTTTAAGTCTTCAAATAAAACTGTAAAAAGCTTTATGAATGTTTGCTGCCCCCCTGCATTTATAACAGCTGAAGCCTGTGTGTACGGAACCTATGTGATCAGCACGAAGACATGGACGCCCACTCCATGTTTGCTTTCTCCAGTAGGTTCCCCCAAGTAGCTCACTTTTTCAGACCATCAGCTTACAGAGCAGACACTCCCCGCTGCCAGCCTGATTTCTTTTTTCAGGCAGTGAAAATTAGTACAGACCAATGTTACATAATTATAGTGGCTGAAATGAAGAATAATTAACTGAATTTAGATGTACAAAATTGTTTTTATAAAAAAATTTTTTAATTGATAAAATCTATTATATAACTTGGAACACTCTGATTTTCTCTGTTTTCCCATCTGCATCACAAAATACTTTGACTATTACTAAATGGAAGGCTGTAGTCCATATCACCCAATCATATTTCAGCTGGCTGTCCTACATTATCAATACCTTCATCTGATGCCTGTGGCAGTAAGGTTTAATACTTTTCTAATGCTGACCACATGATCATTCCTAAAACATATCTAAAGCCAAGAACAAAAATTGCTAGTATTGTAGTTTACCAATCCTTAGATGTGGTGGCTGCATTAGTTTTTCCTTTTTCCCCTTATTTTAACCCTGTCATTGACTCATTTCAGTGTTAGCCCTACACCTCCCCTTATTCTCCATAATGTGGGGAGGAGGTTGTAGTCAAAGGAGATAGCAATGCTAGAGGCAGAGTTGCTGTAGTCAAAGGAGATAGCAATGCTAGAGGCAGAGTTGCTGCAGTCAAAGGAGATAGCAATGAGGCAGAGTGTAGCAAAGGAGATAGCAATGCTAGAGGCAGAGTTGCTGTAGTCAAAGGAGATAGCAATGCTAGAGGCCGAGTTGCTGTAGTCAAAGGAGATAGCAATGCTAGAGGCCGAGTTGCTGTAGTCAAAGGAGATAGCAATGCTGGAGGCAGTTATCAGCTCACAGGATTTCTGAATGGATGAACAACACTTCTCATACAGAAAATATTTTCAAAGGTAGAGTTAGCAGACCAAAAATTTTTAAAGATTACATCAATTTTAAAGGCGAAGTTCAACTTTTAGAACATGTTACACCTGTATTTAGGGTGTAACATGTTTCAGCACCCACTCCCATCACCCCCCTCCTTCCCTTAACAGTGGGAGGGGGTCCTCTCCTCCGCACCTGCTGTCACATTTTAAACCAGCACGGCTGTGCGGGGCTCCACCTGCACAGTTGTATCATTCATTCACAGGAATCTGTGAATGTGTAAACTACAAGTCCCACTGCCTCCATACCAGATGACTTGTAGCTCTCAGTGGACTATGAATGCACTGATCAACACACTCATAGTCCATTCGCTCTTCCGACTTTTTGAAAGGCCAAATGGAGGTACAGGTAGAAAGCTGGAAGAAGAGTGTGCAGGAATCTGACATTCCTGCAATCCACTGCAATGCTTTGCAGGCTAAAAAAATATTAAATGGACATATTTTTTTCTGCAAAAATGTGTATTATTTTTTCCTTTACAGGTTCCCAACCGGCCTATTGTACAATGATGGCTAAGCGGGCCCACTCTTGTTCTGGGAAGAGGTCATATGATGTCCTCCCATTCTTGCTGAGCATACACGCCCCTGGGGGTCTGCAGCACAGTGATTGGTGGTGCTCCTAGGACACAGCGCATGACCGATCATGGTAATGACTTGGCTCTTTAACATAATCAGCTGTGGCCAATCACAGCTGATCACATGTAAATAGATGCTGGTTATCGGCAATTTTTTTAGTCAGCACTGTTACTGTCTGAGGAAAGGAAAGCCAATACACAGCTTTCCTTTGACTGGACATTTACACTGATAATCAGAGCACTGATCATCAGTGCCCTGATGATCAGTGCAGCCTCATCAGTGCCTCTTCATCAGCGCACATCAGTGAAGAAGAAAAATTACTTATATGCAGAATTTCTTAACAGAAACAAAGGATGTTTTTTCTCATTTGTTTAGCAAAAAAGTAAACACCAGTAACTAAACACCACCAAAAGAAAGCCCTATCTGTCAAAAAAAAAAAATGATAAAAGTTTTCATTTTGGTACAGTGTTGCATTACCCCGCAATTATCATTCAAAGTGCGACAGCACTGAAAGCTGAAATTTGGCCTGGTCAGGAAGGGGGTGAAAGTGCGAGATATTGAAGTGATTAAAAGTGACCATATCCCACTTACGTCCTGAGGATTTACCCCCCTTCCTGACCAGGCCATTTTTTGCGATACGGCATTACTTTAACTGACAATTGCACGGTCATGCAACACTGTACATAAATGAAATTTCTGTCTTTTTTTCCCCACAAATGGAGTTTTCTTTCATTGGTATTTGATCGCCTCTGCGTTTACTTTTTGCGCTATAAACAAAAAAACCCGACAATTTTGAAAAAACAAAACAATATTTTTTTACTTTTTGCTGTAACACATAGCCAATAAAAAAAAAAGTAAAAAATCAAATTTCTTCATAGATCTTGTCCAAAATGTATTCTGCTACATGTCTAAAAAAAAAAAAAAATCCAATACATATAAATTAATTGGTTTATATGAAAGTTATTATAGCATCTACTGCTGGTATATATACTGGAATTTAAAAAAAAATTTTTATACTAGTAATGGTGGCGATCAGCGACTTATAGCGGGACTGTGGCGGGCATTTTGACACTGGGGGGAACTAACTGCCACTGGCATCCCCAGTGACACTAATACAGTGATCAGTGCTAATAAAAAGAACTGACACTGTACCAATGACACTGGGCCGGAAGGAGTTAACATCTGGGGCGATCAAAGGGTTAACTGTGTGCTGTGTTTTACCTTGGAGACATGCTGCTTTGTATTTTTCTGCTGTGCAAAGAGATACAAAACAGCATATCTATGCTGACAGGACAGAGACCTGTGTTGTTTACACACAGGTCTCTCTCCTGTTAGCTTTCCCCGACGATCGCCAAGTGCCGGCTGGGACCCTGTGATTGACATCCCTAGCCGCCAATAGCTGCACGCGTGCCCCCTACCCAGAAATGCAAGTCGTGTATATATACGTGATTTTGCACAGTCCTGCCGCCCTGTAGCAGTATTTTTGCTATAGGGCGGAGGGAAAGTGGTTAAGTCATGACTTCCCAACATAATGCATTTTTGGTTCGGTTTGGGTTCCTGACTAATAAGTCTCTATTTGTAGTTCCCTA